ATTTTTAAGATCATCATTACGCAGTTTTCTCCATGCCCCATCGTCTCCTCAACACCCTATTCTCAAACACCTGCAATCTGTGTTCCTCCCTCTGGGTGAGAGACCATGTTTCGCACCCATACAAAACAACAGGCAAAATTATTGTTTTGTATACTTTAATTTTCAGGTTCTTAGAAATCAGAGGGGAAGACAAAATATTTTGAACTGAGAAGTAGCAAGCATTTCCGGAATTTAGTCTCCTCCTAACTTCCTCATGAGTATCATTTTGATGTTATTGTTGTTCCCAAGTGTTGTTAAATAAACCACAAACAAACAAAATGCTTTTCAGTTAGCAGTTGTTTTCTGATCAGGTTCTGTGTGCTGTCAGTGTTACTCTTGTTGTGTCATCTCCATATACATTTGTATTACTGGGTTTCTGGACTTTATTCATCATCTACTATTCCAAACAGAACTCAAAAGTCCAGGAATCTAGTAATATTAATTGTAATATACAAAGACTGAAAGTTATTTTTTTTTGTCATATATGCTTTTGCTGTTACACCCCAAGAACTTTAGATTCCTAGAGCCAGTGATTTCACCTTTATGTAAAACTAACTGCACAGTAATATGCAGGACCCTTTTAAAAATATGTAATCAGTTGGAAGAAAAATTAATGCTTTAAACTAACAGCATTGTTAACTCCATCTATTTATATTTTTTCCTGGGTCTCAATTAATGGTTCCTTGAAAATCTCTGCATGTAATTGAAACTCCTCATTATGGTCACAATTCACTATCAGATTACATAATTTTGAGCAATACACACAGTATTTAGATAGTGTTCATTTTAGTGTTTATTTTTATTGTCATGATAGAGACTATCAATAACATTCCAGACTATAAAATTGTTGAAAATATTGTATCTATATGGAACACTTTCCTTAGTTATATATTGTCAGTATTAGTGTATTAATCTTTTGTCCATTGGTATGAATCAGCTCAGCCTTCACTTACAATAGGATTGTAATCTTGTTGATTTGGTGATGTTAATTTAAAATTTTCTAAATATGATGTTAATTTATTTATGGTTGCTCAATACTTTCCAGTAATTCATGTTATGACAGCTTGCTGTAAATAAAACAAGCACTGTAATCACTGTAGTGTTCTTACTGTGTGCAATATTGGTAATTATATAAAACAAAATATTTTGAAGATAAAGAAAGAAATACAAAGACAAGGAAAGGAGTTATGGACGATGCTGTAAATTGTTCCCACACACTCACCAGTTGGGAGTTACTCATTTCTCAATTCCAAGTCCTTTAATTATGTAGTAAAATAAAAAAAAATCTTGTAGTAATGAATCACGTGAATTGTAAGAAATATTCTTCAGTAGATCTCCTTTCTCTTATCAGAATTGATAGTACAATTCTTTCTCAATCTTTGCTGTCAGTTTCATCTTGTGTACAAGATGGTACACTGCAACACATCTCAGTTTTCATTTTATCCCCTTGTAATATACCTATAATAAAAATAAAATGTCACTTAGAGAATATTATGAACTTGATTTCAGGTATGGTATGTAAACAGCTGAGGTGAAATTACTTACTTCTGTAACTTTTAAAGTTTCTCTAATTTTTGTAGAATAAAAATAGAGCCCACATCAATGTTTGTTTTCTCAATTCCACAGGTATTTGATGTAATTTACCATCATCTTTAATACAATAATACAACTTTAAAATCTAACAAAGTTAATATGAACACATGAATTTCCTCTCTACGTACTGTATTATCAGACCAAGTCATTATAAAGGACACTGAAGAGGGGCCAGTAGGAATGTAAACCTTGTTGGAAATATAACTTAACTATACGACTTATCCTACTTCACTTTTTAAGACCAGCATGGTGTCTGTCTCTCTCAGACCTCCCATGCATGCAGAATTTATTGTCTGCTTAGAAGTGCCATGCCCCTTTTTCACAACTCATAACATCATCTCAGCTCAACTTGTACATAAGCTACAGCTTTGTCTTTAGCTTGCTAATTAGACTACACAAATAAACCAGAGGTGGTTCTTGTGCATATGCGCTACTTAATGGCCTTTTCATAAGCAAGCACTATAATGGTTCATACCAACCTGTAAAAGAAAAAGAAACATTTTCTGTTCATTACGTGCAAGGTAGTTTTTGATCTATAATAATTCAGTTGTACAGTGAGATTATTTTTGAGTGTTCTGCTCATTGCTGAATTTCTCAAGCAGACTTACAGAAATTCAGATGACTTGTATGACCGACAAACTTACAACCTAAACACTAAGACTAAATCTTGCCCTGATTACAACAGATGCTGGAAATGATATTCTTTGTTCCACATATACGTATACCTGTCTTAAGTAGTTTTAGTTGCAGGAATTCTATGATGGTTTATTCTGATGATCTTGAAACCCAGTCTTATGGTTTTCTGATAACTATGTTTAAGACTAGCACTGATTTCATTTAGTTTCACCTCAGCAAGCAGTTAAAATTTTGATTTGGCAGTAATGAACCTCTTCCTTGAATGTACAATTCTGTGAATAGTTACTCTGAATGGAACTGAAACATCCTGAAATCTATGCTTGAATCTTATTTTCTTGTGAAGAAAGCTTATGCATTATGGGCAACTGAATCCTAGATCCTCAGCCACATGGTGCTTTAACTTCTGTTGCCATGCTTGCCCTGTGTGATAACTGGATCTACAGTAGCTGTTATTTTATTTGCTGTATCAGTCACAAATCCTCACTGTATGTGCATTATTGGGTAAAATTTTGTTCTGAATGTATTCTAAAAGGATGGTAAATTAACCCAAATGAAGGAAGAGGCAATTAAAAGACATACAAAAATATATTGAAATATTAACAACAGTTAAAATAATTGTCCTTTGTTCTCTGTTTTTTTATGTATGTAGCCACCTATGGTTGGTCACGTGCTGTAATCTTTGTACTGCAGGTCTGTGATGATGTACTCTATGTATTATACTTATTGATCTTCATACACCACAAACTGTAAAACACATACTTTAATGAAGACTATTTTCATAAAACTGCCAGAAAGTATATCTGGTACAAACTAGGTAATGTTCAGCCGTCAGTGAATTGAACTTTACTAAATATTTTTCTGATGAAAAAGAATTTTCTGATTTGCTCCATTGTTTTTTAATTCCCCCTACTGCCTAGCTGCATTGCCTTCTTGTTTGTCTTGCAAAACAGGGTTTTTATATCTCACATAAAAATCAAAATCAAATACTGTAACTGCTATTTTACCAAGAGTTGAAAAAAAACTTACAAGGATTCAATTGTTCGTTACATGGAAATGTCAGCACACCATCAATATTGTAGCATCCTGCGTCAAGTTTTCCTGTTACACAGAACTGAGATGGGAGATTAAATTTCATGGCATAATAAGCCATGGGTGTGTATATCATTTATCATCCCATTATTAGTGAACAATGTTTTCTTAATGGACAGATGCAAAACTCAGTTCCTAGGTTTTCAGAAGTTTCAAGTTTAACTAATAAAATTGAAATAAAATGTAAATGGCAATAAAATTAACATTTATAACAAGGCAATTTCTATTACTGTGGCATGTTACAACTGAAATATTAAAATCTGCCTTCAGTTGAGAATTCAAGAATGGAATACAATATTGGTGTGTGTCTTTCTCTATAATTTAATATCACCAAGAAATGGCAACACAGCTCTTATTTTATTATTGTTTTATTTTAAAAAATGCAAATGTACAGTAAATTACATTAGTTTGTAAGTTTGTACGTATATAGTCGCAGTGTATATAGCTTCATAGCAATGCTCTTTACATGTACAGTCAATTTAGTGTATATCTGTCCTCTTCATCATCATATATGAATTACCTGTTAGTGCTGTGTAAATATTGTACATTTCTTACTGGTAATTCAAAATCTTAGGTTTAACAGAAAGTCAATAAAAAATAGTTGTGTGACTTCAATATTTGGCAATACCCTGCTTCCTTATGAATATATACACTATTATTATAAAAAACTGATGGAAAAGTCCTGCCTCTGTTCTCTTTTTTCTGACGCACCATGTTTTTTTAAGCATCTTCACAATTTTCACTTTTAATTAATTTCATATTCATTATGAGGATGCCCACCATGACAGAAGGCCAAGACCAGATTCATTAATGCTGCCCTGCAACATAAGGAAAATAAAATTAATCATGCACATTTAAAATTCAGCACATCATAACATTCATTAGTGTTTAAGAAAATTAAATGTCTCATTCTTCTAATACATGTTTTCACTATGAAAGAGTGACAAGGAAGAACATTAGGACTGAAAGCTACTTTTGGAATATATCTGGGCCTATAACAGTACAAAATAGTATTGATAAAAATAACTCTAAATGAACATTTCTAATCAAACTATTAATATTAATAATATTTTCATTAAAGGTAACATTTTTAAAACATGAAACAAATGTAAAGTACATAAAGTATATGTGGATTATAAACATATCATAATTTTGTCCTGTCATAAAACAGATGGATCACATCACCTATACGTATCTCAAATCAAGAGTTCCACCACCATTTTGATAATCAAGACAGTAGAAGCTGATCAACAAATAATGCTGCTCAAAAGTTGTCTGACAGTTGCTACTACTTTGGAATCACTCAGGTTGCAGTGGCAGGTAATTGAACCCAACACAAAATCTGATACTCAAAACCAGGTATCACCTAAAAAGAAGCCAAATTTACTTCCAGTATGCATGCCCAATCAGTACCAGGTCTTATACAGGCTGTTTCATTTAAAAAGCAACTCTAACTACAACAATATTTGCAAGCTTTGGTGATTCTTTTTGACGTAAATATGTCTAGGTCATTCGGCAAAAAAAGCGTAACGAAGATGTGTAAGATCCATATCAACAATGGTTGTTACCTAAGAAACTAATTGTTACGTCATCTGTTTACTCGGCATTGTTGTGTTACATTACTGCCGTCAACAATCTGCTAAGCTGTGAATCGCTTGTAGAAGAAGTGCGTCGTACACTAGATAATTTTGTGCTGGCAAAAACGTTTTATAATATCACAAGTACTTTTCTTATATAAGAATTATTATATTACATTACATTTCATTTCATTACATTACAGAGACGTATTTACGTCAGATTCTCCGGAACCGTGGTTCCGCTGTCAACTTTTTAAATCCATATATGGCTATTCAGAAAGCTTAATGGGATCTTCGAAGCCTACGTTCTTACCATTTGTACACTTCCTCCATCCACCTTTATAGACCAGTTATTGTACAATGTAAGTTATGGGATGCTGTAAGAGGAAGTTGACATACTATGCACAGATGGTGGGGATGAAGAGAAGGATCTGCATTGGATCCAGGCCCATTTCTTGAGTTCAGTGACAAAAAAAACTGGAGACACTGGTATTTTCAATATGAATAATGGTATGGAAGACAGTGAAGCACATGCTTCAGTTCCCAGAAATGTAAATGTAATTTTCTGTTTGCTTCAGAACATCTGTCCTACGTTACCTGAATGTAACGCAAACTTAGGTTCATGCTGAACTTTAAGACAGGTTTTTATACAAGGCAATAAGGATGAAAGTGATAATTTTTACCACACTCAAGGGAAGGTAAATTTGCCAGTACTTCACTGAGCACCACACCATGCAGATGTATGGGGGAGTGGGATGTATAGCATCATGCATTCTTAACCTTGGAGGTGAGTGGTCAGCTTCACATGTTGCTGCTTTACACCTGAAGAAAGAACCCTAGTGCCGAATGGATAGGAGGCTGGGTGGGCCCCAGTCATCCAGCCCATAGTCACTATATATAGACCAAACTGTCCTGGCTACAAAGTAGTAATGTATTCATATTATTATTAAAATCTCAAGGAATGAAGGATTTAGGCAGACCATGAATGAGATGGTCTGAACAGTTTGTGTGACCTCAGAACAGGTCTAATGGGCTTAAACCTTAGTTAGAAAAATAAGAGCGTCATGAAATGTGTCATGGTAGCAGATACATACTGTTAACATATATGGAACTTTTGGTTCTTCAGCAGATGTTTCACCACCTGGAGTTGTGATGTCTGTATTCTCTGGCCCACTTGGTGAGGTTTCTACAAAGGTTTCTGCTGTCACTCGAAATCTAATTGTTTCCCCTGCAAATATTAACAAGGATATGTAATAAAATAATGTCCCATTTCAAACACTGACCAGTACCACTAGCATTGTAGCTTACCTGGATCCATGAAAAGGTCATGTTTGTCCCCATCACCTGTGTTGTATTCCCACACCCATGCCTGTTCTGTCTCATCAAATCTAGAAGGATGTTGTAGTGCATTTGGAGGAATTATGATATCATCAAAAAATCCAAGTGTTACTGGAAATTTTCAGCAATCAAGAAAAATTTAATTAGTTTCACTTGATTTGAACTATGTCTTTCTTTTCTAAACTTCTGCTGGCAGTACAATGAGATGGGCTTACTATACTACTAATATTTATTACTTAATGCAAAAGGATTATGATGCATGAAACCGCATGTTTAACATAAATAAGTTACAATTATTTTTTAACTTACCATGAACTCCTTCTCGGCTGCAGCTACGTATTTTTCCAGTTATTACCTCTTCTATGAATGGTCTGAACACAACATAACGAAAATTAACTTTGGTATGAGCTGCCCCATCTCCAGGAAAAATGTATGAATCTTCTAACTGTGTAATATCATGTAGAGCGATACATAAGCCTACATTCAAAACAACCTGTAAAGAAGAGTTACATTCATGTGCACCAAACTTCAACTAACTTAAAACTGGGTGTTCATGTTTTCACAGCTCTATTTTACTTGAAGTTCATAGAATCTGTTATGCCACAGAGCAGAGGCCTTCTTGACAAACTAATAGTAGCCCAGCTAGTCCCCACTTGAATATTCTCAAGGGCCTGCCATAGGAATCCAGGCCACACTGTTATTTCCCTAAGATCCATTTGAATACTAACCTCCCATGTGTGTCTAGGTCTTCAGAGTGGTCTTTTAACTTCAGGCCTTACTTCTAATTTCTGTAGTCATTTCTCATCTCACCTGTCCATGCTAATATTGACAGAATTAAGAGTGATGGAACACGAACTATGTCTGGTGTCAAATATGCTTGTCTTCATTATCAAAATAACAGAAAATTAACACTATCGTGCAAGTTTTGTAAATACTATTGGTGGCCTATTATTGTATACCTTATTAGCCAACTTTTTATTCAGCTCTTCTGCGATTGCATCATTCAGCTTCAAGTGAAATATATGTGGTGGTGTTCGAATAACATGTTTCATTTCTGCAAGAACAAACATGTTTAACCCGGTATGATACGTAGCCACAGTTACATATTCACAATTCTTGAACTCATATATGAATTAATGTTTCATCTAATGTTATACCAGATGTCAGGTTATTCCTTTTCACAGTTCACCAACTGTATTTCCGACATCTGAGCAGGGTTGCCAATAAAATGCAAATGAATTACGGGAGTTAAAGTTTACATGTAATGGTATAATGGCAATCTGGGTCGTATATTTGTGGAACATGATTGAGAGAAGAAGTGTGCAAAATGGTTTACGAATTATAGCGTTGCAATATGTTTTCTGACAGATAAGCACTGTAAATAAGTTACTGTGTTCTTTGGCATTTGTAATGAAAACATGAATGTCACATTAACATTATGAGCAAGAGGCCTTCGAACTCAAATTTTTATGGACAGAGTAAAATATTTCGTGCTAGTACTTCATTAGCGCAAGTGAAAGCTACTGTGTTTGGAGATGCGAACAATTTGGATGTTTCTCCGTTTACATTTGCACTATCAGATACTGAAGCAGCACTTGTGTATTTGAAATGTAAATTTCCTATTGAAAACTTTGAAGGAAAATTGCCACCAGTTATATTAGTGCATCAAATTTATAGCATAATTAAATGTAAAACATCTGTTGACAGGGAAATAGTAAGTATAAGTGTGGTGTTTAAGTATTTATTTTTAGTTATTTTGATAATTTGTTGAAATACAGAACAAATAGTTTATTGCATCATGAGTTTTCTTTAAGAACTGGAAAAATATTAAGATGTTCCAAAGTGCAAAAGGTGTCAACAAAGATCAGATTTCAGCCACCAGAAATGTACCCATTCTTACATTGGAATAACATCTTAAATGAGATGCAGAATCCATATTTGAAGTCAGCCCCAAATTTTATTACAACATATTTATATTATAGTGAATTGTGTGTGCTGAATTATCATTGTAACAGCTTCATTTCAGATTAAGCAGGTTTCAACTGTTATTAACATTTGTTTCAGAACTGTCTTCAGGCCAAGGGTGTAATACGTCTTTTTAAACTGGGTTGTGAGGAGACTGCACTTGTCGTGATCAATTCTGATGATCTTGTTAATCATATTACACAGCACTGCCCAAAAAAGCCTGCAATTAATCGTTTTTTAAATAATGTAATTCTGAAAGTTCAAGATGTCAGCATTGATAAGGCATTATTGCAAGGGGACATGGGATTTTCACAACAAGATATTAGGTAATTATATGTAGATGAATTTGTGTGAACAGTTTTAAATTTTAAGACTATTAATGTAAGATCAGTAATTCAGTGAAAAGTTTATATACATAACACAAGATGATGGCTATATATAGCCGAAACATGTCGTGTATGTTCCACATGTAAATCGAGTACTCGATAGGGAACGTAAAATGATATTTTAATCTTTTAATTATATTATATTATATTGTGATTGACGGCTAATTTTAATATATTTTTAATACTATTAATGTACATTTACATTATAATTCTGCATTTCCTCTCAAGTGACCTAATGAATGCAGGACTACTGACATTGAGGTCAGCTGGAAGCTTTTGGTTCTCATTTCCAAATGCGGGGGAATTCATGAGAAGCTACCTGAAAGGCAGGAAATCTGTCTTGAGAACAATCAGAAAATGCAAGTTCAGTGAAATATTGCAATTTGTAAGTATATTTATGATGTCCTCAGTGAGGTGCTGTTTTATGAATTTATAGAATTTATAGAGGCTGTACATGTTGCAGCAATTTGTCAATGCATTGCAGTCTGTAGATTGTTCACTTGATTCTTTTAGGAATTACAACAGAGGAAACTGGAGAAGTCTGCTAAATTAGGAATTTTGTACCACATCCATGATATCATTGGTGCAGAATTGGTGAAATGGTATGTGCTTCAGTTCAATTTAGAGAACATTTTATATCAGGAGAAATAAATGCTCTCTGTAACCAGCAACTGATTGTTCAAGCTACTCGTCAAAAGTGTTTTCATGTTGGTCTCCTGGGTTGTGATGCTATGTGGATTTGTAGCCCTGAAGGTGGAGACACTGTGTTTCTCCAAAATGCTGTTGTCTACCTGCAAGTCAACATGGTATTACAACCCAGAGAACTTCACTGGAAGAACTCAAATCTCAAATTATGCCTGTGTTGGTAATTCAGGTACTGACAAGAGAATAAATCCACTTTTTCTTATAAGTGTTTTCCCTATATTTTAAGACTTTGTGGCTGTAACAGAAAACTGGTTCTATCATGAAAACAACTTCATTTTTGTGTGTTCATTATTGGTGATTAATAATAGAAATAACATGAGTAGTACACGCAGATTTTCCCCTTAAATTCTTTAAAGTTTAAATAAGAGTAGGAATAATTTTATTTGCTGTGGAAGTTTATGTTTTGTTTGTGTTTCAGTGTTGAAACCACATCTGGGACTCTTCTGAGATTGACCAAGAAATGATTTTGTTGTTTATTTATAATCATCATTATTTCCAATATTATGTCTGTTCAGACTTGTTGCAGATATTACAAAACATTGTCATTTTGTGGGTCTTCCTAAACTTCTTTTTCCTTGTGGATAATTGAAATCAATGGGAAGGACTACCAATTGGTTTTAGCCAGAGAATGGGAAGTTGAGTGGTTTGGTTACTGAAATTAAGCCTCTTTATGTATAAATGTGTGATAATAAATTGAAAATTGTATGTTGACATTTATTATTATCATCACCACCTAAACTGTTTCAGTATTTTCTCAGGGGGCCTGAGATGATCCTCAAAACTTTGTTTGATGCAATTTTTTTTCTTCCAAGATTTGAGTGGGCAACATGTGAAAAAATGAGTTGTGCCCTTGATGTTACGCTGTAATGCACATTTAAATATTAAATACAGCCCTTCATTATAACGTAAAGCTGTTCCACTACATACCATGTAGGCACATGGTGGAGAGTAGGTATATCTCCTTCTCATTCTTAACCTCGGTGCTAGATAGGGGTGAGTGGTAAGTGTTATGGTCCAGCTGCTCTTACACCCCCACCCCCCAGAGAAAGGACGCTGTACTCATTGGATAGGAGGCTGGATGGGCATCAGATCCGTCATTATATTGTATTCATATTAACATTTGAAAATTTAATTCATCCATATATCTAAAGAAGTTAGTTCCATCTTTAAAACTGATACTTAAATGGAAATGTAGTTTGACGATACGAACTACAAGAACAAAATATAAGATCTTAGTTACTGACTGAGCAGTGACTTCCCATGGTTTCAAACCAGTTGCCAGGTTATCATAAGTTAGTATAGTGGCTTTGGATAGATGGCAGCTTAATACACGTAAGAATGAACTGTGCGACTGGCTGTTTTTGCTATTTTTTGGCGCAATTTTGTGAACCTAAGTTGTTCAAAGTGGTGAATAGAAGCTTACTTATGCAGCTTTAGAAGAAACTAGTGCGGAAAAGAAAATGATACCGCAAGAAGTTAAGAGCACTGGTAGTGTGGGGAAGCTCTTGTCTTCTCCAACCAATGAGAATGAGACTGAAAGTGTTTACTCGAGAATAAACTGTAGTTTTACAAATCTTTCGGAAAGATTTGGACATCACTCGAAGGATTATTCAAAGCAATTTGCTCATATTTATGCTGTACGTCTTACGAAAATGAGGGAGTTACTGAATAAAAGAATACATAATAAATGGGGTAATGTGTGAGTCAATTACATTGAGGTTATATATGACGTTTCATTACATCTGACCAAAATTTGTGGTTAGCCTTTGTATGTAAATCATACGTATTTGAGCAGTATTTAACATCAGCAAAGAATATGGAAATATTTGTTACGTTTCCATATCAATATGTTTTATTTCTCATGTAGGACCAGATGTTCGGATACGAAAATTGCATGAATTGCAAGAGGAGGAGTCCAGGAAATGTGTTGTGCTTGGAACACTTTTCAAGCATCAGGAAATGAAACCGAGTATACTGAAAGAAATCAGTGAAGAGGTATGTATATACTTATGCATTATTTGTACTTATCTATTTGGGATTCATGTGTGATACACCAATTCAATTTAGCATATTTCTTCATGAGAAACTGACAGTTTTTTATCTCATAAAGTTCTTCACCTTTTATGGAACCTGAAGATTTCCTACTAGACTCACAGGAGCTGGCCACTGGTCCCTATCCTTAGCCACAAGAATCCAGTCCACATCCCCACACTCTATTCCCCCAAAATTCAGTAGGACTTCCAAATGGTTTCTTGTCCTCAGGCTATTGAACCAAAATTTTGTGTGCATTTTTCATTTGTGTGTGTGTGTGTGTGTGTGTGTGTGTGTGTGTGCTGCATGCACAGTGCTTAAAAATAAAATAATTGTTTGTTAAATAATTTAAAATATGTTGCTCTTTTGTAGCATTTAATTAAGGCATAATCACTGCAAGAGATAATTTGAGGTTATGTTAATTGCCTGAGGACTTCTGTATTTTAGCTATTTTGTTGTTATGATAATTTGGTAAATATAGTGATTCTGTTTACAGCATCAACTAATACCACAACCACCAAGAACTCATTTTTTTGATGACAGTGACCAACTTATACTGGAAGATGAACTTCAGAGAATTCGACTTGTTGGAAATTTGGATGTCCACTTGGTTGTGACTGGAGTGGTGTGTGCTGTGCTAGGGAATGAAGATGGTGATGGGAAATTTCTTGTTGATGATTACTGTTGGGCAGGTGTATCAGAACCTATACAACATCCATTGCAATCCAATGATGAGAGGTACAGTATTTAAAATCTATACATTCTGTATGTAACAGAACATCTTACAGAGATTTACATGACATAGTAGAGCATATGGTATCAGCTTATCCGCATGCACCTGTTTGCACATGCTTTTTTCTTTTTTATGGGTATGTGTTGAAAATTAGTATTAGAATGATGTTTCCACTTAATGCATGTCATCTATCAACCAAGCTTCTTCATTTGTCTTTGTCTTCTCACAGCTCACAGCTTTTTATGTGACCACATTCCTAACCTGTTGTTTTATTGGAAGCTGGGTGTGAAGAAGGATTAGTAAGTAATTATCAATTTACACTATCTGACAGCCTGAAAGCAGGTATCTTAAGTTCTTCCTGGAATGTCTTTAATTAAGGTCCCTTTTCCCCCAGGTTTGTTGTCCTTCTCAGTGGGTTGGATTTGGCTAACAGTGGTGATACCTTGCTGCCATTTCAGTTATTCATTGACTGGATTGGGGGTTTCCTAGGTGACATGGGGGAACAGGAGCATCAGGCTTGCGCTGTGCGTGTACTAATAGCTGGTAGGTAACATAAAAATATATTATTATTTACCGATGATGTGATATATGCAATTTGTTGACTGTGTAGCTGTTGTTTCCTGCTTCAGGTAATTCTGTGAAAGGCTGTGGGGAACACAAGGCTCCTGTTTTACACAACACTTACAAAACTGATGTTGGAGATGCTATTACTTTAGATGCCACAAAACTTTTGGATGACTTCCTGGTTCAGTTAACAGTGAGTATTAAAACAGAAAATAGTTTACATATATGTACATTAACTTGGTGTAAATAGTATTAATGTTACCATGAACAGATTGCTTCAACAAATAAAAATACTTAACCAAAGGATTGAAGAAATAGTTCAATTTTTTAAATTCCAGTTGTGTATAAAGTACAAAACTGAGGTAGCTGCTTGAGATACTTATTTAAATTTGTGACGGCATTAACCTCTTGTATGTTGAACTTGTGAAATGTGGTTGAAGATAATAAATGTATCCAAAGTTTCTGTTGGGTATTTTTGTGTTAAAATAATAATGTGGAAAGTTTAAAGGTTATACTAATAAAATAAACAATCAGCCAAATATATCTTTGGTCTTGTCTGATATACTATCTATGAATATTTCAATGCTGTTCTATGATCAATGGAAAATGTGTATTCATAGGCACTTCACATGATTTTTATGGAAGGTCGTAAAAGAATGTGATGTTAATGAGCGCAACAGTATAAAGTTTTCATAGTTTGTGTGTGTGTGTAGTTGTGTTGTTTCTTCTTAAGGGTCAGAATATATGTGGCTAAACAAATTGTTTGCTTTTTGTTTAGTCGTCAATTGATGTGGACTTAATGCCTGGGGAGTTTGACCCATCAAACCACACGATGCCTCAGCAACCACTCCACTACTGTATGTTTCCACAGGTACATCTCTGTTTTCTTTTCATTGTTTTAATTGTTTAATTTAATCCTGTGAGATACGAATAAGAATTAGGAATTAATGTTTATTTCACTTACAGTGGATCTTTTAACTATTTTTTAGAGCAGGGGTTCTCAACTTTTTACAGATCCACGTCTATACTCCTCTAATTCTTCACAAAGTTGAACAATTGCTTACAGCAAAAGGTGCCGCCAGGTACTGATCTCATAGGAAAGTATGTTTTGTGATACTGATTAAATATTTGGTACTTGTGGGTTATCAGGACACGTCGCTTTAAAAATAGGTTAGGTTAGTTGTCATTTATTGAAATAAAATATAATAACTTTCAAGTGTATGTCATTTATCCTCACACATTAACCTAACCTATTTTTAAAGCGATGTGTTCCGATAACCCACAAGTACCAAATATTTTTCATCATACAGTATGACACAGTATCACAAAAATGTATGCACAAAACACATCACTGGGTCTTATATGACACCCCCAGTAACTTCTGGACCAGTACACAGATTATCACGACATTGGGTATGAACATTGTGCCCTTAGAGGACAGTCCAACTTTGTAGGGTGTTTTTTATCATTAATAATATCAACCTGGCAGCTTGGCAGACTTTTGAGGGTAGGATCAGCACTAGCATTACTTAATATAAAGACCTGCAATTTTGTGGTCTAATAGATCTTCAGATTGTATTTGATGTCTGTTATATCTTAAGGGGTCCGCAGTGGCCGCACGGTCTGAGGCGTGGGCCTTGTGCCGCTCAGTCGCTGGGACCGTGAGTTTGAATCCCACTCAAGCCATGGATGTATATACACGTATTTCTGTGTTGTGCTGTCCTGTGTACATGTAGAGGCCTTGCGACGGGCCAATCCCACGTCCAAGGAGTCCTACTGAATGTCTATAGATCAAGCCAACGAACAGTTGGGACCCGCAGTGCTCAGGCACTTGAAGTATCCAGTAGTTATATTTTAATCCAGTAGTTATATTTTAATTAGAATCATGGGTAAGCTGTAAAACTTTGAGGTCACATCTGACAAATTGAATAAAGCGATAATTTATGGAAGTGGAAGTTATATAGAGAATGAGTCACTAAATTGTAGAATTATAAGCTTCACCGTATAGAATGAAGCATCTGAATGATAGTAGGTGTTTTGAAGAAGCTTTCGCTAAAACTTCTTGTTCTGTTGCAGGCTTCTGTTTATCAGACATTGCATGGTGTACCAAACCCTTATGAGTGTGAAATTGGAGGACGACGTATGCTGGGAACATCAGGACAGCCAATAGATGATATTTCTCGTTACAGTAAACTTTCTGATCCGCTCAGTATATTACAACTTACTTTGGAATGGGCTCATCTTACACCCACATGCCCAGATACTCTGTGTAAGTTTATTGGTTGCACTGAAATGATGTTCTGTTGCTCATTACATGGTCATATTTGTATTTTTTAATATTTGTATTTACATTGTGCCTACCCATAATTAATTTCTTATGTAGTTGATATTTTTAGGCATGTGATGCTTGTAGGATTTGAGGTTTACATGACGGTGAATCTGAAGATTGCTATCTTGGGTTGTTGTGCCATGTAGTCTGGTAGATGTTTACCGACATTTCAGAGGTCCTTGCTGACTCCGTCATCGACCTGATGTAGACAGCAAAGACTTCTGAAATGTCAGTGAACATCTACCAGACCACATAACGAAACAACCCAGAAGACGGAAATCTACATATAATGCTTGAATCTGTATGCTTACTCAGTCTTAAAACTTACCTTGAAAAGCTAAAGGGTTGGTATATTTTTTCCACATTCAAGGTTTTTGACTGACTTTGGACTCAAATTGTATTCCTAGGTGGGTAATTATATATTGCACATATACTCTGATTCTTTATTCCATATTTTCATTGATCATATTACATAATTTTTATCCTATGTACGTAAAAGCCAAGGCTCCCTGCATCAGCCATCTTTGAGTTGAAACCCTCGGCTAGTGCTCTGATGTGGTCTGTGAAAAATGGTACCCCAAATCCTCATGAATTTCCTGTTACTGCCATACCAAGGTGCATTAGTCTGAATGTGAAGACACTTGGATGTTAACACATCAGCTTTCAGACGTGGCTATGAGCAGTGGGGGCATGCCTGATCCATCATAGGGCAGTTGAGCTACTTAGAGTGGTTTGTAATTTCTTGACATTGGAAGCAGCACTGTTTAGGACTGAGGAGCAATTTAATAAAGTGAATTTTGTATTTGTTTTTCAGCTTGCTACCCATATTACCAGGAAGATCCGTTTATAATATCAGAGTGTCCAGACATATACTTTGCAGGCAACCAGCCACAGTTCCAGTCCAAATTATATGAGGGTAATTATTAACTTATGCATCTTGAATAGACATACTTGTGTGTACTACATTTAACCTGATTGAATGCATATTTTCTAGTCTGTAAAATTGTGATGTGATGAAGAATTCGAACATGTATAAGGTCTGACAGAAACATTTTTAGGATGGTTTCTTGGCTTGTGTAGCTCTGCTGGATATTTGGCAGAAATCCTGATAATCACTGTCTTGTTCATGTTAATGCTCAGATCATACATTATTCAGATATGATTTCTGTACTAATATTTATAATTATCTGTGATCAATGCAATTGCCATCATCTAATTGTAATAGGACTGCTGAAATAACAAAGTAACGGCATCTTCTTCTTCTATGGCTCTCCAGTCCGTATTCGGTCCATGGCCTCCTCAATTCTCCTCTTCCATTTGGTCCTCTGTTAGGTCCGTCTATCCAAGGCTTTGATTGAGGTTTCGAAACATCTTCCTTTTTACGGTGCAAGGTTGTTAGCCTTGCTACCAACCCCCAACCTAGAGTACCAGGGTACCTGTCTTAGTCTGACCTCTCCCCCTTGACCAATCTGGCTAGGGAGGCCCTACCAGTAGCTCTTGGGGTCACTGAGGTACTCAAGCCCCACCACCACGACAAGGTGCAGGTACCATTAAGTGGGGAAGTAACGGCATCTGGGAATTGTATTTATAGTGAATATATTTGGTGTTATAATTATCTCATTGGCTTGAAACTGTAATTAGTTTCTCAGATATTTGTATTGGACAGTTTTATTGGGATGGGTTTTCCAACAGTTTCTAATTTTTGCTGCTCTTCATTCCACCATTACATTTGTCACTTTCATCAATGTTATGAGCAGTAAAAAATCAGTTTCGTTGTCACTCGTGTTCTAGAAGTTATTTTCTCGTGTGTTTGTTACAAGATTGTGTTCAATAACATCATATTTACAGGCCCTGAAGGACAGCAAGTGAGACTCATCTGCATACCAGCGTTCTCTAAAACGCATTCTTGTGTGGTTGTAAACTTGAAGAACTTAGACTGTTACACAGTACGTTTTGATGCTTCAGATTCCATGGGTCCAGGACTAGATAAATGAAGTAAATGTTTCAAGATGGTGTAATATTAATGATTATTTTCTTTAATAGAGTTAAATATTTTTACTGCCTAATGTCATCAAGTGTAATTTTGAAACCTGTTACCCAGAAATATTTTCATTGTATTGCACTGTGTTATGAATATGTTCTCTGTCATACTTTGTAGAGTAAGGACTAGCAAGGTATTTCCATTTTATCTTCTCTCGCAGTAGCAGACTTGAATTATGGAAAAGGCATCTTTCATCTGTAAGATCAATATTTATCTATTACTGGTGCCTGTAATTGATTTGTGACTGATAACTATTAATGACATTTTGTAACTTGGCATTCTAAATAGTCCAGAAAAAGGTACACTGTTTATCACCATTCTGTAGAAAATGTGTTTTACCAATGCGGGTAAAATTTATTTTCTGAGTTCCTTAAGTAACAACAGCCGGGAGTTTTATGATACGAATGTGACAGTGAAAAGTGTCATTGTTATATTTTGTCTGATTATGATATGTGTGACAGTAAACAAAGTAAAGTCATCTAGATTAGGTAGTAATTTGGTATTGTTGTACAGGTATACTTTTAACAATCTTACCTATTACAGAAGTTGAGTTTATTTGTAACTCATAATGTGGCAATCATATAAGCTCTTTCAAATATTCCAAACTCAAGAGGTGATTAAATTTTGATTCAAAACACTGGCATTCTTAGTAAAGAATGTGTTTTACTGTCATACAGTTAATGTGTCATCTTGTGTTATTTAATCTATGAAACAAAATTGATTCACAAATGAAAATAGTCATTTTTCTCTCCCAAACTCTATTTACAGATTTCGTTTGGAACATGTTTTTATTTAAATTTATGAAGTAGTGTGTGGTCTAATTCCTAGTTTTGAAAACCCTGTTGCTTAGATTAATGAATCTAGCTTCAATCCTGTTGTATTGTTGATTGATGTGCATGGACATGAAGGATCAAGAGTAATTAGGGTTTAGAGAAGTGTGCAGTTAACCAAAAAGTTGTGAAATACTTCTCTTTCTCTGAATAGTATCCATTGATTGTGAAATATATGGTGTGGAGTGGTTTGGAGAAGAAAGGATAGCAAGGTGAAGATGGTTGGTGTGAGATGAAAAGAAGTTATTTTGTTGCAGAATGATTTCACTCCATTTCCTTCTCGTTGTTTACTTTTTCAAGTGTTGGTCTCCCATCAATTCTAAATGAGAAAGTCAAGTGTTTGACTCTTTCCAATTGAAAGAACTTCTTCTGAAAGGAGATTTCAGATGCTGTTTCTGTAACTTACCATTCCATTCACTTGCTTTGAAGAAACTATTATTGATTTTGAAACTTGTATTCAATCAAGTGAATTAGATGTGGTATGTTAAGTCAACGAGTAACAGTGAATCTAAACATTATTAAGTCGGCTGAATGGTTGAACATGAAAGTGGTTAAATAATGCAGTTTTATGTGTGCAGTGGTCCTTCATATGTAGCTTTATTTATAATATTAAGTACTAAATTAGCATAATTAAAGGAAATCTGTCATGAACATGCCGTGGAATACTGGAAAATGGATATTCAGCAGAGTTGGCAATCTTGAGAGTTGATAACTAGATCCATTTTCTGTTTTCTCTAAAAATGTGGAGTACACTGCCTCAGGACACATGGAACAGGTAAGTGTTTAGGAGGTGATGGTTTAATTTGGAAATATATAAAACTTAATAAGAATGTTTATTTTTGGGTTTTTCCGTTTCGGCAGAAATAAGCACAAAGAATTACAACAGCGGTGGAACACTTTTATTGGGCACGTCTTTTTCTTTACGTTTTATTAAATGCACTGTAAAATGTGTAGTGACGGTTATAGATCTGAGTGAGGCCATACAATTTGACAGACGTGGCTCTATCTGTGTCTGGAAACTGGCAATTTTATTTTCTCTGACTACAAGTCGATCGCGGAATTCGAGCTACTGTCTGATATACTTGTAAGAACAGTTAAATTCGTTTTCAAATAATTTGCAATTCACATTAATTTATACACGTAAAGTAGTTAATTAATAATAGTGACCGATACTATCTGGATACAATATTAACTCGACCTATCGGACGTGGCGCCCGCCGCGTAAAATGTGAAACACCTCTTGTAACAAACGTTTAATTTATAACTGCGTTCATGTACAGAACAAAGTGCCGAGACTGAAAACTTATAATCGACATTCATGCGAAGTGCAACTAGATGTGTATTCCTAGCGAGTGATTAAGTGGTATTGTTTTATGAATACAAAAGCTAAGAAGTGGAAACATACTATCATCCATCGTCATACGTGACATGTGAGTAGTGAATATTTATGTTTGTTTTACTTTTTTCCTCAATTAAGGTGAGGTCGTATTATTCTATTTGATTCATTGCTTGGAATTGCCTTAAAATAGAGAATTTAGGATGATTGGTCTTGTAGCATCTTGGTTGAGCTTAAGTTCACGTATTTGTTCCTCCAAATCGTTCATTGTACGATCATCGACACATATAACCTGTTGTGAGTTGTAACTACTTAGTAGCTAAGCAAGGTCTCAGGCATGATGGAGATGGCTTTTCAGACCATTACAAACTCCTGAGGGAATGACCAGCACATACTATTTAGGTTCGGGAAGAAGTTCCTACATGTATGATCGGGGACATGGCCGTATACGTAAAGATAATGTTAAAATCTAATCTTG